TACCCTGTAGGGAAAAATGGTGGCCAATATTTTTTGAACAAATAACCAATTCAAAAATTAAAGTTTGTGTGAAAAATTGTCAGATATACATTTCTTGGTCATTGTGGTTTGTATCAAGGCCATCCAACTGGCAGCTTGCAGGCCACAGGTAGCCCACGAGGAGTTAATTTGTGGCTCCCACCCAGCCACCACCTAGCCTACCACCTGCCTATGTGTCTTATACTATTGCAGCCTGTGCATGGTATGGCCCCCGGACACCCAGAAGTTGGAAAGACCTGACCTATATAAAAGGATATGGATCTAGAAGAGACACTGGTGTAACTCCAGTATTTTGCTATAGTGAAAATAATGTATGTTGCAAATTATTTAAGCTAATTAAATCCCTGGATACATTTTCCCATGATGATATATCTGCTATATTTTTTAATTGCCTATTTGTCTAGCACCAGAGCTTGTACATTCAGTAAAATTATTTAAACTTAGCATCTTGGTATTTACACGCACTCAGATTTGGGTAAGTCTTGAGTCCTAGTATCCATGGCTATAGAGGTGATGAGACTAGTGATGAAAACTCGCCTTAATTTCTATGAAGCAAGAATTTCATTTTAGGTGTTAGGTAACTGGCATGTGGTCGGCAATATATTTGGTGCAAGGGAAACAATGCCAACTTAATAATTTTTCATTATGTCAATGAACCCCTGACAAGCTGTGATCTTATAGGTCAAATGAATCTGTGTATATCCATTGTGAAAATCAGATTTTTAACTAAGCTATAGGAAAAAAAGGTATGACTGAGGGAAAAGGGAATGAAGCAGCTGAAAAATAAAAAGAAAAGTAAGAAGGACAGGAGAAAGAAATGTAATAAAGATCTACCTAGAATTTCTTCCTTCCTTTATAAGCTGTTATAAAGGTATAGCATGCTTGTCTCACACATGGAATGTGGAAACTTTTTTCTGAGGTTCCTTAATTCCTGGTTTCATATGTTAAAAAGTGACCACTGGAAGTTTTGCTTCATTTCTCTATTCCTCATGTAGACATGCTCTTGCATTTCATCTCAAAGTTCCTTTGCCCTGCTCTAGCCTTCACAATTGTGGAACCTCACTTGTGCTCTTCTTTGGTTGAAGATCAGTCTTTTTTTAAATCTCCTCTTCCTCTGAATTGCCTCCCTTATATATGTTTTCAGATCTCCAGAATGTGGCCTGTTTTACTGAGCTGTTAGATCTGCTTTCTGGTAACCTCCTCCTAAACATCATTGCAGTGATGAAGAAGACTCTGTTCATAATGTACCTGATCCAAGCCAATAAGATTCTTTCCATTGACTTTGGTGAAGTTGGAGTAGGTTACTTGTGAATTTTGCTCCTAACTTCTCTGGAAGTACAGTGCCATATTGTTCCAATTGTAAATCAATCTGACATATAAATTGACCCCACATTTTCAGAGTCAATATTATTTATGTATTATATTTATTTAGGATAAAACATTTCCCCCCAAATATATGGTTGATGTTTCTGCAAGGGTCAACCAAACATCAGATGTTGACTATAATCTGATTATTAGGGAGCTGATTATATGTCAGTGCTACATATAAGTGTGAGTTTTATGGTTCTTTGTAAAGGAAAAATAAGTTTGACTTAGAATCAGAACAATGGAGTAACTTTATTGCATACCCTTATGTCATGACCAGTGCTTCTTAAGAACTTCAGATGATTAAAGGGAAGAGAGCCAGAAGGCACTTTGTCCTATTTTAGTCTCCTGCATCATCAGTTGACAATTATTTTTCTTCTGGTTCTGGCTACCCAACATACTGAAAGCTTGGCTAAGCAATGTTTTTCAGTCACGAACTGATGATGCCATGGCCAGCTAGCATGTAGCATTGCCCAAAAATAAGTTTTTTGACAAGCCAAAATATAAATTGCTATATTAGGGCTAAACCCAAAGTGGAGGTGTTTCATCCTTTGTAAGGATTTCCCCCCCTCTCCTCTGAATTCTAAGGGAAGTTAAATAATCTAAGATGAGCCAACCACATTTCCCACATTTCCTCTGAAATGACTTTTGATGTAATTTTAAAGTTTAAGCACAAAGATATATTACAGTGACCAATTAAAAGGACCTAGAAGAACCAAGTCATATAAGAAAAATGACCTGTCAAACCTAGCTTTGATTTGGGCCTCACAGAATGCTCTATAGTGACCTCTTGTATGTGCCTGTATTCTAGGTACACAGTATGGTATTCCCATTAGCTAAGAAGTTTCAAGCTTTAGTTTAAGGAGCATTATCAGGTTTGTCACTTGGACTTCTACTTCTTGCCTTAGGTAGTAAAGTTTGTCCTCTTTTTGCACTTTTCTCCTCCATAAAATGGAAGGAAGGTCAGTTGGACTCTGGCACTTCACTCCAGTACAAATCCTTTCCTTGTTTTCCCTCCTGTACTGGGGTTTACTGGGGACATTTTAATCTTCCTTTGCGTAAATGACTTAAATTTAAAGGACTTTTTCCCCTTGATGGGAAATCAGGCCCTGCTCTGTGGAAGAGCCTACAGTGAAGGGGGTAAGCAGGGGGCACCCAGACTGTCAGAACTACCAAGTGGGCTGGGGATGTCCTGTGCTTAGAAGCTTAAACCAAGCAACAGCCCTTTCAAATGGCCCCGAGAGCAGAGCAAAGCTGGTGTGGGACTCTTCAGGGGCTGGGTAGCTGGTGAATGCTAGTAACTGGAATCAAGCAAGGGAGGCAATGTATTATAATAGCCTTTAATGTATGACAAATGCAAATATAAACTAGGATGTAAATGAGTTATCCCCCCACCTTTGCTGACTTTATCCCACCAAGTTCAGGGGAACACTGTGGCCTTCAGCACCTGTGAGGGGCTGTGATGATTTCCTCTGACCTCGATAAAGACTGTTACCCACTTTCAAAAATAAAACTATTTGTTTCTCGTCTGAATCCACTAATTCGTGCCTGTCACTTCCTGAAGGAGATGAACTCCCCTCTCTAAAATAGGTAAACCATTGATGTTACAAGTTACAAAATAACAGGCCCTTTCAGCCATGCAACAGACATTTTAAAACCAGTTTTATCATTGGCCAACCATTGAAGGATTTGTGTGGTGACTGCTTTCAAAATAGTGGGATAATTAAAGAAATAGGATTTGTTAAAAAACAATTCCATTTCTTGTATTCTTTATACTAGTAGTGAATCACATTTCAGATATTTTCCTAGAAGTCACCTGCTTGTCCCTGAATTGAAGACCTCTTACAACAGGGAACTCCTGTGGACTGTACTATATAGATTCTAAACCTTTTGTCCTGTCAAGCAACAGTGTTTTCTGATTGGCAAACTAACACTGTCAACCCAGTTACCCAATAGGGGTGGGGTTTTGTTTTTTTCTAGGATTGTGTTAATGTCAAAATAACGAAATCACTGGCTGCATCCCCTTTCCTCACACTGTGCCACAGAAGTACTGCTGATAACTCACACCAGCTCTCCCTGCCATTCACACCTTCATCCGCTCCTTTCCCCCTTGTTCAATAGGCTCAGAAAAAGCAAGAAATTAAGCCAAAAGAGCTCGGATGCTGTATTTGCTTTTTGTTTTTATTATCAACAATCAATTAATGGTACACTCTTGGAAAACTATATGCACATGTAGAAATATTTCCCCTTTTAAATAGAAGCATTCATTTTAACCACATATAAATAAATTTGAAAACCCTGAACGTAATGTATGACGATTATGCTCACAAACATATTCCAACAGGAAGGGAAGAAGGAAAGAAAAAGGAGAAAATGAAAAAGGGAGAAAGAAAAGGAGACGACATGCAACTGATAACAAAAATATATACTATTGTCTGAGCCTGGCCTCTCTAAACGCAAAGGAACTGAACCCGTGAGAACCTTATTTCTCCATAAAGACACGCCATAGAGACTACGAGGAGGGAAAACATTATTTCATAGGGTCAACTAGAGGAGACAAGTCTGTACTGATAGGAACACTATACAATTGAGTCACAGAACACAGCTGGTAGAAAGACACAGAAAAAAGGTAAAGCAGAGCTGGCGACATTCAACTAATAGCTAGAGGTTTGTGCCTTGGAAAAGGAAACGTAAAAACCCTAAGGGAGGTGCCTGAACCCCGGTGCTCAGCAGTCACACGTGCGGCCCGGGCCGGGCGCCGCGCGGGAACAAAGGGCGGCGGGAGGAGGGAGCGCGCGGGGCAGTCACCGACACCCCGGGAAGAAACACTTGTGTGGAGAGTCCGGGTCGCGAAAAGGCGTCTGAAAAACCCCAAAGAGCCCACGTGGCAGCTCGAGTCTGGCCCTGGCCCTGGCCCTGGCCCTGGCGCGGCGGCCCGGGGAAGTCTGTGGCCGGGGCGCCGCGGCTCAGTCCG